TGGTCGTAGTTCTTAACAGAAGGAGATCAGCGAGAGATTCAACAGCTGCTGATTTGAAGCTAGCTTGCCTCTCGCTCTTTGCTGAGTATAAGTAACTTTACCTGCCATTGTCAATCATTGAGCATTTATATTCCCTTGACTTACAGACCGGCGAGCTAAGATCTGGTGTTGAAAATCCAGTGCTGGCGTGCCCTTTTCCTTTCTCTTGGTTGCTCAGCTTTGGGGAAGCGCTTCCCGAAGTGTGAGATAAACATAGCGACGGACTGCTATGGTTATTGGTTGCATCAGCAATGTATTCTATTACACCGAGCCTCCTGCTTACCGATTCTGCTACTCCTGTTAATGGCATTGGCACAAATTTTAGACATTCCATCTGAATGCTTGTAAGGCTGTTGCAGTTATTCCTACCAAAGGAAAGGATTCCCGTGTCGGAGGTTTCATAGGTAGCTTGCTGTAAATTCATTGATAACTCCATGAAGTCGCTGGTGTGCTTCAGCGACTTAAAGCTGCGAAGCCGAGAGCTGTTAGGTTTTGTGATTTGTAAAGAGTGTGTTAGTGAGGATAAGTCTTCAGCCTCGTGATCAAACATGGGACTTAAAGTGCTGATGTTCGAGGTCATTTGATTTTCTGTCAAGTCACTATCTTGAAAAGAACCTCTCCAATGGAGCAAATTTCCTTTTAACGTAGAACGGCCGATCGGTAGCTCCTTACTTTTACGAAAAGAGTGGTGTAGTGCTTTCGTCTGTTTGGCGATCATTTTTTTGACCACTTTGGAAGAAAACGAGGATTTGGTATAATCGTTATTGACAAAAGGACATGGGTTTAGTTCGGATTCCACATTTATCTGCTTTCTAGTAGGCTTTTCCCTACCTTTTGGGCTAGTTGGCAATGTTACATCGTCTTTGACGTCCCCTTTTATGGACTTTTCCTTGGATGGCTTACTCACAAGCCCCACTTTCTCATTGGACGTAAAGTGTGCATTTGACGTGGGTTTTTTAACGCCTTGAGACAAGTGTGGTGTTAAATAAGGTTTCCTGAAGCCAGAAAGTGCAGTTTTTGTTCCATCCGGTAAGTCAAACAAATTATTTGCGCTGATGGAACTTGTTTTTTTGACTTCAGTGGATCGCGTTTTTGGATAACTTACAGTGGATAGATCAGGGGTGTTACTCTCACCCCTCTGTGGTAAAAATATGCCATGTGGTAGACAAGACAGTTCAGTTAGCGTATCAATCGGTGTTTCGAAGTGGTCCTTTCCGCTCAGTGAACCAGCTGAATCACTCAGCTCGGGTGATGAGCAGGTTGATTGTGACCTATGAGCCGATTTTACGATTTGTCCTCCTTGCTCGCTCGTCAACATTGAGGGCTGTGATGGATGTTTTTTAGAGTCCTTATGTGCATATATATAACCTCCACTTAATCGCCTTCTAGGTTTATTTAAGACTAAGGGACTTTCACAAGAGATTTCCGAGGTGATGTTTGATGGCATTCGTGATGGTGGATGCATAGATGGAAAGTTGCTGCCACGTTTACTTACAGCAGTAAGATTAACATCACAAGTCGGTTTTGATCTGTTCCACTTCTTTTTGCCGGGATTTTTTTGTCGAACAAAACACATTTTGTTTTTTAAGGGCTTATTCGCTATAACGGTTTGGCATTCTGACGGTTCTTTTGAATCATCGCTTAAAAAGTCATTCATTGGTGCATTTAAGGCAGTTTCGGGTGATGAAGTTGTGGGTGCCAAACCCGAAGTTTTCAAATGCGATGGTTTGTCGAGATTCTCAATTCGGCCTTGGCTACTAGAATTGAGTGATGAAGACGTGAGACCCGATAAACTGAAACCTCCAGGGGAGCTTATCGTGCCATTATGTGGCTTTGGATGTTCAAGTTTGATGCAGAATCCCTCACAACTCGGCGAATTTAAGGCGAAATCGTCCCTTTGGTGCTGTGTTTCCACACTACTTGAATCGTTAAATGAACTTAAGGGCCCCAGATCACTTGGCGTCGAAACCATTCGATCCTCGTTAAAAGGACACGCTGAGCAGCTGTCGCCTAAACTTCTTTTCCACTCTTCTTGTGACGTTGGTAGGGATAAAAATTCGGCTTTGAATAGTTCGATGTCGGTCACATTAGCATGAAAAGGACCACTTCCAGTATTTCCACTGGATGGGAGATTTGCAAGTTGACTTTCTGTGCTTATCAACGATATGCTGGAAGGATGTGTTTGAATAATAGCCTCAATTGTTGAGGAAAATGGAGGCAGGTTATCATATTTTTGTTCGCTTCGCAAATTTTTTGCAAGATCAATTTCTTCTCCTTGGTATTGCTCGAAATTGTCACTAGTGATACCAAGTTGACGGGCATCCCGCAACGTTGTGAGTTTAGCAGACGAAAAGGTAGAATCATTCATGGGCACTATGGTCCCCACGTCACCAATAGCCTCGAAGGATGTTTCGGGAGATGCATCGAATCTGAAAAAACTGGTTAGCTGAATGTCATCTTCCCACGCCGAGGAAGATCCGCAGTCAAGAGCTGACAGTCGAACAAACGGTGTTTGTATTGCCGTATCTCTTAATCGGGGCAAATATCTTTGTTCGCGTTCTTCGACTTCATCATCATATTTCCACTCGATTTGTCTTAATGGCCATCTTTTCGGTTTAAACCAGGGCGAGGCTTTCTTACACGGTATTGGAACTTTGGTCGGTTGTCCTACCACGACAGCTTTGTCAATTCGTCTGGCTCTTCGCCAATGAATAAATTTTAGCGACTTTGTAGGTTGTCTAGGTTTATTGGCCGCGTGTAATCGACGTTTTAGGATGAACTTGATGGGTCTGCGCACCTGTCGGAATCCTCCAGGTGGAAGTGTCTCTTCCACACTGAGCAGATTTAGTGGAACCAGAAACTCGTCATGTTTTTTGCGGGAGAAGTATTTAACGTAGAAGTAGTCATACTCCTCATCGGAGCTCCAGTTCTCGAAATCCACTTCAGCAGAGAGGTTATACAAGGGAACATTACAGTACAGGCAAGTTCCACTCAAATCAACCTGGCAGAGCCTGCAATAATGAGCACCACAGCGTGGGCACTGGGTGAAGTTTTGATTAAATTCAAACTTCTTCTTAGGATTTCCAGGAGCACTGCACTGAGCACAGAAAATTCGTTTTACACCCACCATAGCAAAATAGCGCACCAACTTGGGGTGCATAAAAATGAACCGATCAAGTCGCTTCAGTCTACCGTCTGAAGAGTCAGCATTTGATTTCTTTAACTTTCGATTGCGCAATTTGCGTATAAGCACATGAAAGAGTCCCCGTGTGTTTTTAATGTAGGTTCGTAGCCAAGCAGCTCTCCGATTAGCACCGTCTGGGTAATACCAGGCCAATATTAAGTGACGCAGTCGAAGAACATAGACCTAGGAAGTAAATTACTTACCTTTGGTTGATTGCGCCTAACTACAATACAAGTGGGAAACCAAAAGTTCAGCTGACTAGATTAATTTCCCTAGTTGGGTCAACAAAAACATTGATGTCCTAAAAATGCCTTTTTTAGTTAAGTTATTCGTAAAGGGCACTTTGAAATCCATGGTTGACTAATTATGTCGCCCCTATGAAGTAAGCATTATGACGAACGAAATAAGGGAATTCTAGACACAACTCAAACGTTATAAAAGGGTGCATATAAAATTTTGTCAGAACCACAAGTAGGGCATAGCCAAGCTGAAGTGGATACTTGCACAATGATGCTGAGGATAGTCAAGACCAAGGCTAAGCCAATCAGTATAGTGGTCTCGTGATCCGGTTCAGAAGGCCGAGGTCGGCAAATAGTGGCATCCACACTAAATGCGATGTCTTTTAGAGGATTCGCCAGGTTCAAAAAACTGCGACCAATTTCCGACATGGTGGAATTTCCCTGAATGTCTGGAACTACTTGCTCGCTGGGACCAATTCCGAGATCCGACATTTGATTGGATATGTCTTGCTCAAGAGTCTTTTGAAATAATGAGAGGCGTTCATGATCAACTGCCAAATTTTTTTCCCATTGGGAATTTAAGAAAAAAAAAAAGGTTTTTTGGTGAAGCAGACCTGTTTTATCTCGCCGAATCCAGTAGAGAATGCCGGTGCAGTTGTGAGCACTACTTGGTACATCGCATAGTCCGCGAAAATGATGAGCACAAGGGCTGCCATACTGACAACGAGGAACATCAGCGATCCTGCGGCCGTACTGCGCTCCGTCTTGGACCACCGGCATGCTGTCAGTGTGACATGCTTCCTACGTTCGGAGCGAGTTAGTGGAAGGGTCATGGGTCGACCGTGTTCAAGCGCTTTGCGCTCCTTTGAAAAAAGAGGAATACAATTGTTCTAATTTGAACATACTGCTTTTCTCAGATGTTTGAGGACTGCCCTCTTTTCAGCAAATTATCATTTAGGAAGGGTTTCCAGGACGATGCTAGCCAATTTAATTGATGAAAGTTGGACTAATTATAGCATCAATACAAAAGACGAAAATATTTAAGCCCACCTGTGCAAGGAACTGGGACGTTATGTGGCCATTGTCAAAGAAAGGTTTTTTCAGCCACTTTTTTCTATACATTGCGGCTTGCACGATCAGTTGAATCACTGTGAAGAGCGTCCATGAAGTGAGCAACCAGGCCATGGCCCGTTTAAAGTAGTTCAACCCATTCATCATAAGATCCATTCTTTCCTCAATCATTGTCGTAACTACTGCCTGTGAGGAGACATTCATGCCAAAATTGATGTCTGCCATTTCCTCCTCCATCTCAATACTAATATTCTCCTGACCCAGAAAGCGTAAAATTGAGGCTTCACTGTCCTCTAACTGCTGTTCACTCACCGGCGCCACACTAGTCACCTCCGAATGGAGTCGATTAGACTCTCGGACGCAAATATCATTCAGCTTTGCGACTCCATTGCATGCCTGATCGGCAAACATTCTCACTAGGTTACAAAGAAATGACATTGATTTCATCGACGCTGCACAATTGAAGTACAGTGTATTGAAGAAAGCAAGGCACTGGTTTTTCATAGCGATTTCATCACCACAGGCTTCCACCATACCACGAATCCAATCAGATTTTTGATCTAATATCTTTGTTGCCATGTATATCACTTCCTTTAACTTCCTCAACGCCAATCGTGCCGCATGTAGTCTGCTGTTGATATTATCTATGAAGCCGCCCAGTTGTTTGACTATGATCATAAGCGGTGCCTTTGTGATCTTTCCAATCAATTCCACGTTGGCATTAACCTGACCCAGGACACAGGCAATGGCGTTCCGGAAGTTGCCAGAATTGTGCATAAAATTAATTGCTGGACCAGTAGTTGCTAAAGTGGTAGCAATCAGCATCAACAACCAGCGGGTTCGACTAGCAATAAGGTAGGGTAAAGTGATTAAGAGAATGCAGCGAAAGTCAGATGAGAAGGCAATTCCAAAAACAGTGAACATCATCATATAGCCTGCAGCCAATGCAGCCATATGGGGTAGGTGAGCAAAAGCAACGGAGAAGAATGGAAAAGAAACAAAACCAATGAGGATGCCAGCCACTATGCCGAGATAATTCTCCCGCAAAAGGGTACCTGCATCCAATGCTGAAGTTGCCGAATACCATGAAAGAGGTTTTTTGAAATAGATACGCGGTGTGTATTTGCAGCAGATTCTGTTCCACAAAACACATTGCTTTGATATTAAACGTGCACAGCAAGATGGCTTTTCTAGTTTTGTGAGGATCTCATCAATCTCTCGATGCATCTCAAGTTGCTGAAGGAGATCTTCATCCACTTTGCTGTCTTCTGGCTTAGTCTCCAATATGTTTTTACATGGATCAGCATTTGTAGTATCTTTTGATATTTTCAATGGGCTTCTATCCTCTTTGTCCAAAGTCAGTATCTTTTCACTCCTGTTATTGTTGACTACAGTGGACATTAAAGTTTCGTTATTAAGCATTTTCTTTCTGAATGGAGGCTTCTTTTTAGCAGTAGCTGGGTTATTAGCTTGATTTTCTTGAAATTGATCTATGTAGGCAAGGTCCAGCCGATCACAGAGGCTAGGATTTTCAAGGTCACCTTCTTGCTTCTCCAAAAGAAATTCGTCAAATATTTTCTCGAACCTCCCAAGCCACTGAGACCCATGCAACAAAGGTTGCATTCTTGGGTCGCTTACTTATAAATTAAACATTACTTTTAGAGTTAACATCAGAGGAAAATAAGACGAATGACTAAATTTTCGGCTTATTTTTTGATGTAAAAGAAGCATTTAGTTTTTTGGCTGTAATACAAGATGGGAATGCAGACTATACAACTGCTTTTTGCTCATTAACCAATCAGAGGAGGGTGACATAGCCACTTCATGTCGGAAATTCAGTAAATATTAAACCTTGTTCAAAATACTTCCAACCTTGCGTAAATACTAAACGATTTTGGATTAGTCTCTAAAATCTCAGAAGTCATTACAAAATTTTTGATGGATTGTGAAAGGGAATGCTGCAATCATATATCCACCTACCGTCTTAGAATCTGACAGAAATCCTGCTATAGTATGTCAAGCTGGGATTCTAACGTTAACTGATCAGTCGATAATCTATAAAATCAATAATTCAAACAAGTTTCATGCCTTTGTGGTAGGAGCTCTATTCAGCGTAAGTATACCGGTGCGTCTAATGACCAAATGCGCAACTGCTTAACCTTCTTTAAGATAATGATGTAGCGTCCCAATGGGGTAGTAGAAGGCATAAGTGGGGTTGAATACATGTATTCCGAAAACAATAGGAGAACTGGGGCCTGTGCGTGGCCCGAAGGCCAGCCCACGTGCACAGAGGCCAGACAAGTCTTAAAGTGACCGCCAAACGTCAGATAGTCGCATAAACAAAGCATTACAAATAAGATTCCTATTATATATATATTTTTTTTAATAATAATCCCTTTGGACGTTTTCACACCCTTGATCGGACGCATTGACTACTTTTGTCGTGCCTGCATTCCTTGTCGAGATTAAAGGTCAGAAGAAGCGCATCTATAGCAGTGCAACATGAGAGGAGAAAATGTGATTGTCATCCTTTTTGGGAACACACACGACAATCAAAAGCTGTACTGAAATATGTTGAAGCCAAGAGAAAAGGATCCATGGGCACGTATTGTCGCCCAGTCGGTGATTTCAAACTCTAAAGCCTTCTTTGATCGACACTAACTATCACCTACCCTGAAATTTTTTTCTTTTTTGCTTTAGTCTTTTGTACTGCTAGTCCAGTGCGGTAGTGATGGCTGTAATGTATGAATAAAGAAGAAAAATGTCTTTCAGGGTGTTCCTAAACGTCACTCACTTGTTTAATATTCCCCAAAAGGCCAAAAATAATGATTAAAAAAGCGCTGTGTAAGAACAATGAAGCATTCAAAGGGATGAGGGAACAATTATACTGATTTGAAGACCCTTAAAAGGAATGACAAGTAAAGCTACAAAGCATTATTAAAGCTAACCGCACAGCGCCTCCTACTACTACCTGAGGTCTGCATTATCAATCACATAGACTTTGAAAAGCGACTTTCAGCTGCATTTGGACCACTATTTTGATTCCTTTGATCGTTCAAAACTGTTTGATAGGTACATTGGCCTAGATTTTAGCAATTTTCTCTTCAAATTCCCTTACCCACTAAAAAGATTGTACTGAACTTCTTGCAATGAGAAATGTTGATTGACACAAAGAGAGTACCATCGCAACTTCTCCCCTACTCATTCAACTAATCAAACAGTCATAAACCAGACAATTAATTCATCCATTCAACCACTGTTTCAATTACACTTCCTCCCTGAAACCAATGGTACTAGTTTCCCCCATTTCTGCCTAAAATGAATCTTCTAGGCGAAGGAAGGATATAACTGACCTTGAAAAATGTTTCTGCAATTAAATTACTGCAAGACACTCGATTTGCTTAAATTTGTCCTGCAGATCAGAGGTGGGAGTTTACTTCGAGCTTCTTGCTGTCGAGGAAGGCCATAGCAGAAAATAAACAGCACTAATCCTTTCTCTTGTAATTAGTTCATTATATTTTATACTTTTATACCCAGTGAAGTCAATAAACCCTTGAGAAGTCTGTTAAATGTAAAAAAAATGTTATAGCAAAGTGAAATATACAATTATCCTTTATTGAAATTGTGCACTTGGGTATTTGGTATTTGTAATACTTTGTATTTTCAAATGTGTGACGTCCAACTTGCCTTTGATGGGTTGGACCGAAATTGTGACGTCTCATGGTCCCACTTTCACGTCATTCTGCTTATACACAAGCACGTAAGCAAGTTCTTCGCCTTCTTTTATCACTGAAGATAATAGAAAGCAAGTCCAACTTTACCACCTTTATCCTGGTCTTTACAGGTGAGAATTGATTGTTTATACATTTCTATTCGAAGAAGCTTTAATACCTTCCCAACAGAGGAGTTATGAACCACGTATTCGTTTGGCATTTGCTTCATTTCCATGTTCCCCAGACTAGGTGTTGGCAACTGCATCCAATTGGGAAAATCCAGCTTTAGAGCGTCCTTAATTTTACCTGCATATGGATATTGACAAGGTGATTTCGTTTTTTTGCCCAATTCTTCCACAGCTGTATTTCTTGCCTCTTCTTTGCATATCCAAAGGTCTGATTAAGCTCCAGATCCAGGTGAAGCCGCCTAGAGGATCTCAGAATTTGTTGAGTTGTGTGGCCGTCTGGTGCGTGATTGCTTGCAGCAAAGACCACTTTGCGATGAACGCCACAGACGATCCACCAAAGGAAACAGGAGAAAGAGCGTCACCATGTATAAAGTGCAATCGTTTTGATGACTATCTTGCCGACTTCTCAGTCATGCCAAGGTTTCACACCTTCCCTTTCTAAATTCAGATATGGTTTTAAGCTTTATGCCTTTTATCACCAAATGAAAAGTCACTCTAATTACATACGATGAAGCTTTAGATACACACCAGCTTGTGTGGTACCAGCAACTGTGCAGTTCCCATAAAAAAGAGGACATGCATTAAGAACTGTGTCACACGTGAAGATGAATCGCTTTTACATTAAACCCCGTTTTAGATTAACATCAAGCAAAGAGTGGATCAATGTAACAAATTTTGAGTGACTCGTTTTAATTAAGCAGGAGAAATGACGTCAATGATTGACAAAGAGTGCATAAATGTTTTGTTTTAATTATTTTTTGGGGCCAAGCGAATCGTATTTGCGTGGGCGACTCTACTTATTTTTTAGGGAACCTTAAAGAGAAACTCAACCAAAAGTGTTTATTTTCTTTCAATTTACTTGTTATCAAAGCTTCCATCCACAATTAATGCCGTCTTGTGTCAAAATCTAGAGGATAAACTACCTGTTCCACGATCCCCTTGTTGTTCACTCAAGGCCCCAATGCTTTAATCTTCTTTTGCCGCGTTTTGTGATTGCTTGTCTTACTCACACAAGTGACAATTTATCTATCCACGGCATTACATGCCTTGTGTAAGATGGGAATGTAATCGTAATGAAACATATAGGTCTTAACGATGGGAGAGGACGCCAGTAGAAGGTGCACGATGGCCATTTGGACGTATCCTTACTCAAAGCAAAAATTGATGACCATGTTCTCTCTGCTTCTGACAACGGTGTGATCTCCTTTCTCCTGTGATCCTCAAAACAATGCTCCTTGGTCATTTACCTTCGATTAGGCGCTTGGTTGTAACTGTCCCTTCACTGTTCGGAGGTGGAACTCACTTGTAAAATTACCACTTAAGGACACTGAACCATTCATTGGTTGTACTTTCTCTTAATCAATGACAATGATTACTGTCGGTTGTGAACCCGCCATTCCTTTGACACAGTCTTCAGCTTCTCAATTACCCACTAATCAATGACAGGTGCATACCATGACAATGAGAATTTATGATTAGTTAAAAACACGTATTTGTTTTTTTCTCAGACTGTCATGCATTAAACCTTGCTCTTGAAAGAACCATCCACTTATCTCCTTTAAAGTATGCCGTCATTGTCAATGCCCCTCACTTCATTTTGGGTCTCATTTGGACGTTTAATGGCTAGATTGACATAGTTTAGCACACCAAGACCCGCTCAAAGTTAGGGAGTGGAGAAAAAAACCAACGGTACTGGTTTCTTCGTCTGGCTCAGGTGTCGCGCCTCACAGATAGGATGTAACCAGTAGCAACAAAAAGCCACTTGAGTCGACCAAAACAAAATCGCATTAACAAAAGTGAGATAAAAATCTGAAAGCAATTAAAAGGATGTTAATATTATTGGGAGGCATAAGAGTCCAACGCTTGGCAGCATTACAAATCCGGTGTTGCTCCGCTTTTTGCGGTCAGCTAAAATTTAAGGGAAATGATGAAGCAAACCAGAGGAACGGTCCAAAAATTAGATGTAGAAAATGGTTTAATGCTGCCTTCTTACATCTATGCGTAAGTTTCCTTATGTCTTTTTTCATACCATGTACCTTGTTCTGAAATTTATTCTTCAAAGCACTTAGTTTTCCTTTGGCTTGCTCTTTAAAAGTGGGTTTTTGATGAGACATCGCAGCTTCACCGTTGTAATGGATTCGTCCCGCATATGCTGCTGCATTAACTACAAGCAAAATGCGATTAAGAGGATGAGGAGGAGAAAGATGACAACATTTACGCAGCATGATTAACTATTAATAAAGAAAATACATATAATGAATGAAAAATTTATGGAGGGTGGACCAGTCCTACTTTTATCAGCCAATTTCTTTAGTGTCCCGCCCTCATTGGGCTTATTGGCCTGATTTTGTAAATGGTTCTTAGGTGAGTCTGACTTGTCCTTGTTCTTCCTTTTAAAGATTGACTTCGGCTGTAGAAAGACAGTGTCAGCACTGCGATGGTGCTTCTCCGCATCCACAAGCAAAACAGGAACAAATACAAGAAAGCAAAGAAGTGAGAGGAGTGTGAGAGTAGAGGCACGCATTAAGCACTCGACAATAGAATCACTGTCAGAAACCGCCCTTCCTTATGTGAGGCATATCGGGCTTAAAGCACATTCTTATTGGTGCTGTGACGACAAGTGAAAAAGATGTACCTCCAGGCTCGAGTAAGGAGGCGTAGCGGATGAAGGACGTAGGCACTATTAGATATATGCTATAAAGATCAAAAAAGCAAGATGACT